GTGAGCTAGAGTCTCTCATCTTCAGTTCTTTCTGTGTCCCTTAGTGTAGTGACCTTGACAGGCTCTTGAAACACCTGGAAGTGGGCCTCTGGGCATGCCTACGGGGGATTGTGTTCACTGAGGTGGGAAGATCGCCTGCTGTGGGCGGCCCCATTCCCTGGCTGGGATCCTTGTAGGGGCCGGATATACAGGCCCATATTCCTACACTGTATGAGAGTCAGAATTCTGAGTGATCTGCAAGGCACAGTTTGCACCTCCCACACAGAAGGTGGTCGCCTAGCCTTTGGTAGTTAGACAACCTGATGCCATCCTAAGCAAGTGGTCAGGATATGCTAATGTTGTTCTGCTCCTTCTATGGTAATTAGGAGGTTGCCTAGGGAAGAGGTGTTTTTCAGTCTATGTGACAGAACAGACACAGGTAGGGACGTGACCTAAGCCATTCTCCCCGCTACCTAGGAGACAGAATGCTACTGAACTTCCCCCTGAGTTTACGTTTTGATATAAAAGCTGTTTGGATTTGAACCCTGAGACTCCCTCCTGATACAGTCATGTGAATTGTGCCTCAGTTATTCCCACACCTCCACTCTGGTACAGACATGGTTTGTGTCTGGGCTGGTCCCCGGCAGGTCCTGGACTGTACAAGTGCAGAAAGGGAGTTGAGCTGCAGCGGGCTTTCATCTGCTTCCTGACTGCGGGTGTCATGTGACCAGAGGCTCTCAGCTCCTGTTGCCTTCACCTTCCTTCTGTGATGAACTGGACCCTTTCCCCTTTCCCTACAAGGTACTTCTATTAGAGTATCTCATCACAGCACAGAGAAAGTAACACCATCCAAACTTCTTTCTTCCTCTGTCTTTTCAAGACTCTTCCTTGTGCCCATCTTCCCTTCAGGACTGCATGGAGTGGGTTTTTAAAACTGCACTTTGCCTGGGTGGTGGCGGCGCATGTCTTTAATCCCAGCACTGGGAGACAGAGGCAGGTGGATCTCTGTGAGTTCAAGGCCAACCTGGTCTACAAGAGCTAGTTCCAGGACAGTTAGGTCTATTACACAGAAAAACCCTGCCTCAATCAATCAACCAAAAAGAATTGCACTCTGACCTGCAAAACTGCATTCGAGGCTATGGAAGAGCTGTCCAAATCCAGGGTTCCATGAAACCATCCAAACACGACTTTGGAAATGGGAAAGGCTTTTTTCCCCCTCTATTATCCACCTCCTCTCTGGTCTCCACTAGTTCATGGAAAAGGTCCTATTACATGCCTTTTCCTGAGGCCCCGGGCGAGGCTCACACTGACTTCACCCCACACCCACTTCTCTGATGTCAGAGGTAGACAGAGGTACACGGACAGTGCATGCTGAACACACTGTCAAGCATTTAAAACTGTACTGTGGGCACTAGTCTTGCCTCCCTCTACAGAAATCCCCGGAAAGGCATCTATTACCAGTAGCTCCTGGCACGGTGCCTCAGCTCAGGGCAAGTACTCAGTCAACAAACCCTGGTCTTTGAAAACTGTCTTTTTAGTGCTCATTTAGTGTGTGTGCGCTCGTGTGCATGCGTGCCACGGCACACATGTGGATGTCGGGGAGAACTGGTGTTGGCGTCAGGGATCTCACTCAGGTTGTAACTTAGTGGCAAATTTCCCCATCCACTGAACCATCCTACCAGACTCAACTCTTGTTTATTGTTTTGTCCCCCTACCCCCCAGGGCTGATGGGGAGCAGCAAAGGTAGCTGGTTCTCCTGAGGCCAGGCTCTGGCTTCCCTGAGGCACTGTGCAAGGCAGTAATGTCAACAATGCTCACTGTAGCAATGTTGAGGACCGGTCTGAAGAGCTTCTCTGGCCTTTGCAACTCTTCGTGTTTGGTGTCTTAGGCATCTCCCCCGATCTGCACTGAGGACCCTTCCCCATACGCCCTCCTTTGTGAGTTTAATCCACGCGTGAAAGAGCATCCTCCTCTCCATTGCGGAGCACAGATGCTGGCGTCTCTGGTACACGTGTCTGGCTAGTGGGCTGGTAGACAAGTGGATGGGTTACTACACTAGCAAGGAAAATAGAAAGACGACTCATTCCTACCAGTATCCTGGAATGGTGCTCTGGCAAGGGCTGAGGTCCTCACGTGTTAAAGGGGTAACACCTCACAGGATAAGCTGGATAGAGTGAAATTTGTTCAGTCATTTTCAAAAGTTTACAACTTAGGAACTAGAATATATCAGCATTTAGTGAAAACTTGGTAAGACAAAGGGGTGAGGCTAGAGTTTGGTACGCTAAAATTGATAGTAGTAGGTAATTCATTGGAAACGGCTCAGTGTTTTTGCTCAGCATTTATGTTAGTGGGCCATTCCAGCCCTCAGTCGAAAGCCAGGTGTGTCTGCTGTCACTCTCTGTATTCGCAAACTTGGAAATTGAAGGTGGCTTTGAAAGAAAGGCTTGGAGCGCCTTGTGAACACCCAGGGCTCCTGACTGTAAGCTACGCACATGAATCACCTGGGAGACTTTTAGAGATCTCGCTGCCCAGGCTGCCACACAAGTTGATGAACATTTTACTCTCCAGAGAGATTAATCTCAGCGAGAAAGACAGAGCCCTGGGCCCTGAGCTTGTGAGGCAAGCACTCCACCTCTGAGCTACTCCCCCATCCTGGCATACATGTATTTTTAATGTGTGTGTGTGTGCACGCACGCATGTATACTCGTGCTGTGTATTGTGTATGTACGAGTGTAGGGTTGTATGTGTCTGTGTGCAGGTGTGTGTACTGTGTGCTGTGGGTAGTGTGTTGTGTATTGTGTGTGCACATGAGTGTAGGGGTGTGTGTCTATGTGTATATGTACAGAAACCAGAGGAAGACAATAGTGTCTTCTTTTGTTCTCCACTTTACCTCCTTTCGATAGCTGTCTCTCACTGTCACGGCTAATCTTGGTTGTCAACTTGAATGGCTCTGGAGGCAGTTGAAAGGTAAGCCTCGGGCTCACTTGTGAGGCCTTTTCTTGAACCTCTGGTGGCATCCCAGAAAACAAGGTCCGAGAGAGACGCTTTGCTTTTGAATGTCTGCTTGCCTTTGCTCTGGCTGGCACATTCATCTGTGCTGTTGCTGCTGCTGTCACGGCCATGTTCCTTCACTGATGTCAGAGTCACACTTAAGGGGCTTCCAAAGGGGCTGAAAACAAGAGGCTCTCCAGAAATCCTTCAGGCTTTAGCATCAGAATGGGACTGCTGAGACACCAAGCCTTAGGGACTGAGAAATTGTCAGGTTCTCTCCACTTCGGTGTGAGGCAGCCATTGTTAGATTACCCAGACAGTTTTTTTTTTTTGTTTTTTTTTTTTTTGAGACAGGGTTTCTCTGTGTAGCTTTAGAGCCTGTCCTGGAACTAGCTCTTGTAGACTAGGCTGGCCTCAAACTCACAGAGATCCATCTGCCTCTGCCTCCCGAGTGCTGGGATTAAAGGTGTGAGCCACCACCGCCCGGCTAAAGATTTCTTTATTTATTTATGTATTAATTATGTACACAGTGTTCTGTCTGTATGTCTGCAGGCCAGAGGAGGGCACCGAATCTCATTATAGATGGTTGTGAGCCATCATGTGGTTGCTGGGAATCAAACTCAGAACCTCTGAGCCATCTCTCCAGCCCCCCAGACAGTACTGTGTAAGCCAATTGAATAAATTTCTTTAAATGTATACTCATCTTCCCAGTTCCATTCCTCTAGAGAACCCCAATTAATACGCCGACTGAGCTGGAAATTCAACACATAGGCTAGGCTAGTTGGCCAGCAAGCTCCCAGAACCCACTATCTCCATTCTTCAATGCTGGGGTTACAAGTATGAGCAGGCATGCCCAACTTTTAGTGGGTACTGGGGATTTGAACTCAGGCCCTTGCACTTGTGCAGCCCACACTCTAACCCACTGAACCATCTTCTTAGCCTGGCATCCATATTTCTACAGCTCCTCAAGTAATTCTGAAGCACCGCCCACACTGAGAAAACCACTCTAATCCACAGGCAGCTAAAACCAACGAAAGGACTTAGCTGTGTAAACCAGAGTCCATGTTTCCTCTAAGAGCCTGAGACCAGCTTCAGCCAGTTCCTCCCCAGTGTCCCTTCATCCTTCCTTTATACTTACTTTTTCCCAGCAGTCAAGAGTCACTCTGGAAGCCAAGCGTGGTAGCACACGCCTCGCTTTTAATCCCAGCACTCAGGAGACAGAGGCGGGTAGATTCCTGTGAGTTTGAGGCCAGCCTGGTCTATATAATGAGCTTTCTAGACAGCCAGAGTTACACAGTAGTACCGGCCTCAAAAACAAGGAAACAAGACTGGTTCTTGAGCTACACTGGTGAGGATCCGAATTCAAATGAGGTACGCTGTCAATTGTGGAAGCTGTACTTTCCGGCTCCATTCACCTTCTGTGCCTAAAACCAGCTTCAAGAACTAGAAAAAGAGAGTGAGTCTCAATAAATCCCCAGGAGGCTGCAAAATACCCTGAGCCAGGGGTGGAGCGTCAAAACCACAGGGATGCTGAAACACTATAGTTCAACGGCTGCCCTGTTCTGGGATCTATGAGCAACAGTACTGTGCGTTGCCCTATTCTCTAAGAACTTTCTGGTTCCCAAGTAAATCCACAGTCTTATTGGGCTTGGGAAGGAGGTGGCATCACCACCAGATCCTCACTGGGTATTATCTTCCACCTCAACTACTCCAACAGTGTTCTCTGCGGACAGGGCCATTTCCCAGGATTGTATGTGCTGGGGAATGCCTCTGGGTTTAGAGGTTGTTGGGTATGGAGGACAGGGAGGGCAGGTCTCCTCTGTCTTCCACCCTTTCCCTTAATTCTTCAATGAGCTAACTCTGCAGGGGGTCAAATCAAAGAGCAGCACACGAGGTGGTCAGATTGCAGTTGTGTATTCAGTTTCCTAAGCGCTTGAACCACATGGGCTACGGGAAGGGGAAGAGAAGCGCTCTAGAGCTGCCTGGCTGGTGTACTGACTGCTGCTAAGACATAGGTTCTTACATACGCCTTACAAGATCATCTTCCTACAGGAGAATCGGCTTCCACAAGGGTAGCAGGGGTTGCAAGGGTCACAGGGGCCACAGGGACCGCAGGGGCCACAGGGGCCGCAGGGGCCGCAGGGGCTACAGGGGCTGCAGGGGTTGCAGGGGTTGCAGGGAGATGTGCAAGGGTAGCAGGGAGACTCGATCTTGACGCAACTGCCGAGCCCATAGGAGTACGTCACGTCTTTCTCGTCCACGCATGGCGGCAAGCTGAACTCTTTGCAGATGTTCATGTAACTGTACTTTTTGGATCCGAGGCAGTCGTACCTGTTCTCCCTCTCGGCTGACACACAGACCTTCCCATCTTTGACGCGCACTTTGACTTGGTCGGGCTCAAAGCCACACACGTTAACCGACCCCAAGATGTTGCTGCTGCAGCACGATGAGGCCAGGATTCTGTTGGTGGTCCTTCTGAGTCTGTGGTTGCAAAGCGGGCAGAGAGAGAGATTAGACCTCTGGACTCTACACACCACCCATAAAATAGGAGCCCCCACCCCACCCCAGTCCCCGAGCCCCCCACCCCTGAGTCCCCATCCCACCTTACCTCCCCACCCCCTTTTTCCTTATATCAACCCCATCCAAACCCATTGGCCTTTCTTTCAGATCTTTCTCTAATGCTCAAATCTAGCTCCTCCTGCTCTAAGTTATGGACTCTTGGCCTGGTCCTTAACCTGGTCACTCTGTGACTCAGCTTCCTTACCTGTAATGATGGTGATAATCCATCTCAACACTGCTGGAGAGTTAAATGAGACCATGTTTTACTCAGCACTGCGCTGGGTTCATCATACATCTTGCTTGATTACTGTTATCTTGTTAGACAGATTTGCTTTTGTTTCCTGATGCTGAGGTTTGAGCCTCATGCATGTTAGGGAAGCCCTCTCTGCTGGGCCACACCCCAGCTCAAGGTTTTTTCTTTTTTTTTTTTTAAATGAAACACAACCAGTAAGTTAGCATTTGAACTCTGTGTCTTAAAGATCAAAGCCAGGAATAATGTGTGTGTCTGCAGACCCAGCTATTCCAGAAGGTGAGACAGGAGGATTGCTTGAGCCTAACAGTTGCCAGGTAATCTGGACATTAAAGCATGATTTTATCTGGCTATCACTGGGCAGACAGACAGACACTCCACCAGAAAGCTCACTGGCAAAGGACAAGGCAAGAGAACTCTGGCTTAGTTCTTCCTTGGACCAGGCAAGACCCTGGACAGCTGGAAATCCAGTCTGCCTGGTTGCCAGTGCGAAACAGATACATGGAGATTTCCCAGTGACATGCTAGCTGGGATCCTATCATCTTGCAAGAGTTTGTTGTGTGTGTGTTTCCCCAGCTCCTCCTTCAGCAACGTTGTGTTGCTAACTTGAAATCACTCATGAGAGGAATGTTGATGCCAGAGTGGAGTGAGCTAGAAATCGGGGCACCTCTGCCGTGGCTGCTGGGCACCTCTGCCGTGGCTGCTGCTGGGCAGCACTGCTGAGTAACCCTTAATAATAGCAGGAGCTTGCACTGATTGGGCAGTGAGGATGCATCAAAAAATAGGAAAGCTGGGCTGGAGAGATGGCTCAGCGGGTAAGAGCACTAGCTATGCTGGGTGGTGGCGCACGCCTTTAATCCCAGCCTCGGGAGGCACAGGCAGGTGGATCTCTGTGAGTTTGAGGCCAGCCTGGTCTACAGAGCAAGTTCCAGGGCAGCTAGGACTGTTACTCAGAGAAACCCTGTCTCAAAAAGCCGAAAGAGAGAGAGAGAGCGCTCTTGTTACTCTTCCAAAGGACCCAAGTTCAGTTCTCCCCACCGTCTCAGGCAGCTCACGACCTCCTGTAACTAGCTCTAGAGGGTCTGGTGCACTTTGGGCACCGCACTAATGTGCAATGCCCACACTGAGATAAACACAAAAATAAAAATAACTCTTTTTGCGAGGGAGGGCCAAAGTCCCTAACCAGAGCTGTGGCCCCAGAACTGGACTCTCTTCCCTCACTTCTTGCAAGGCTCTGCTGTGCAGACAAGTTCTCGAGCTTTCCTCTGCCTCGGTCCAGGACGATAACAACTATGACATCTACCTATGTACGGAATGCATTTTATGAAGGTGCTTAACACTCAGCTAGGCTGGGAGGCCTTTGTTTTCTTTTTTCTTAAAATCTACCCTTCCCAGTGCTGAGTACGCCAGAGGTGGTGCTTTATTTAAACTTTACAACAGCCCGTGATGCCTACGAGATTACCACTGTACTGCTTTAAATGCTTTTGAAGATTTCTGCTTACTGTAGTTTAGCTACGTGCAGGTTTGTGTGTCTCTGTGTAGGTTTGTGCGTGTGGCTGTGGTGTTTGAAGGGGTCAGGGTCATCGTATACTCTGGAGCTGAAGTTATAGATGATTGTGAGCAGCCTGAAGTGGGTGCTGGGAACTGAGCTGGGGTCTTCTGGAAGAACAGCAAATGCTCTTTACTATTGAGTTCTCTCTCCAGCCCCTGTATGCCTTTTTATACTGAATTTTATTTAAACACGTTCTTCTTTGCTTAAGTTACACAAGTTCATTGTAGAAGATCCAGGGGACATAGATAAACTAAAGTATTTTTTTAATATTATAACACACATAATAGTACTTTTGTTGTATTTTCTTGTCTCTGTGGATGTGTGTGTGAGAGAATTGTGTGTGTGATTTTTACATAAACATAGATTTATGTGTGCCCTTATTTCCAAATCATGCTATAGACACTGCTTTTAATTTGTATTTCTCACTTGATTAAACTTCATAGGACTGACTTAATGAGGTGAATTTCTACTCTTGCACTAAAAAAATACACACGGGCTTGGCTGATCACAAAGTGACCACTAGCTCTCTCTCCTAGGAGGCGCTGAAGCAAACAGACGAGAGCAGCAGACGAGACGGCGCAGTGCAAGTCCTTCACCTCCATTCCACCCTGGCCCTGAGGAAACTGGTTAGTCATCCTTGTCCTCTATGTGCCCGGGCGCCTTGGGTCATCCCAAAAAGAAAGGAGAGAACTGGCTTCTTTCAAATCACCAGCTCTGGGAGGGCAAAGAGGAGCTCACAAGGGCGTAGCCCAGACACCAGTCCTCTCTGGCTGGATCGTGTGGCTTGAAGAAGCAGCCAGAGGTGTATGTGAAGGGTCTCTCAGGAGTGTGTGTGTGTGTGTGTGTGTGTGTGAGCATGTGTGTGTGCGTGTGTGCATGCGTGTGTGTGCGTGCATGTGAGCATGTGTGTGTGTGTGCGTGCGTGAGTGCTTGTGTGTGCGTGTGTACATCTGCAGGGAAAGTCGGTCTGGTTTGGATGAGAAATGTGGAATCCTGATATCGATAGTGAAGATAGGATGGGACTAACAAAAGCAAGCCAAGACTCCAGAGCAAGTTCCCTAAGCCTCAGCTGATTCTTCCTTGAAAAGCTCTGTCTGCTTGCCGCCACAGGAACTGGAGCCTAATCTGGGACCTGACTTGTCAATCACAGCCAACTTTCAGATCTGTTTCCTCTTAGACACCTAGTCCCAGCTTTAGTCAAATGTGTTCTGTTACTGGCCCCTCCTCACTTCCCTCTGTTCCTGTCACCTTGACTCCTTTGGCTCTGCAGTAACTGTCCAGGGGTCCCACACTGTCAGGGCCCGGTACTGTCAGGGGTCCCACACTATCCAGGGACCCCATGCTGTCCAGGGTCCCCACACTGTCCAGGGTCCCCACGCCGTCCAGGGTCCCCACGCCGTCCAGGGTCCCCACGCCGTCCAGGGTCCCCACACTGTCCAGGAGTCTCGCACTTTGAGTCTCCAGAAGACTGCCTAAAAGTCTCCGCTAGGCCAAGTTTCTTATCATTTCTATATTAATGGTTCTGGGGAATGTGTGGGTTGTAGGAGAACTTGCTGGGGCCACATCTGACTCATCAAACTCAATTCTGAACTTGGAACATGCCTCTTGCCTGGTGGGTTCCCCACAACCCCAAGTGGGTTTTTCCATAACTACAAGGTTCTGAGCCAGGGGCACATGGCCTCCTATGCCCCACTCCCGTGGACTAGGGAAGCTTGTCAGCTGGGGCAGGGGGACTGCGCCTGTGAGCGGAGCTCCACAGAGCGCCCCACTTTTCTTCTGTCACAGCTGGGTTCACTCCCATGTTCAGCCACCCTTGAATGGGAAACACCCTGCCTTCCCGGTAGAGTTATATATTCAGCTGTTTCCACAGAGATCAATTTCAACCCAGTGCAGGAGAAAGTAACAGGAACTTAAATGAGCACAGACAGGTGGGCCTCCTCTAACTTCACTGGGACATTCCTTTCCTCTTGAATTTAAACCCATCCCAAAGAGCTACCTAAACACTCCTGACATCTTCATCTTTATCATCACCTGCCTCCTGCTGCTGCCGCCCCCGTGTGTGCATGTTTGTGTGTGTGTGTGTATGTTCATGTGTGTGTGCATGTTTGTGTGTGTGTGTGAGTGGAGGCCAGGTTGACATCAGGCAACCTTAGTTTTTGGAACAGGGGCTCGCTCTGGACCTCACTGATTAGACTACACTGGCTGCCAGCACCCCTGAGGGCCTCCTGTCTCTGCCTTCCCAGTGCTGAGGCTATAGATGCCACAGCACCCAGATTTTTTTATGTGGATCCTGAGGATCTGAGCTCATGCTTGTGGGGCAAGCACTTTAGCAACTGAGCCATGTCCTTGGCCCCTCTGCTTTCTTTTCCTGCTTTTCTCCTTCCCTCAGACTTCTGGAGTAGACAAATGTCACTGGGCAGCAGGAGCAGGTTCTGTGGTGTTGATGCATCCTCCTTCCAGCCAGGCTCGCAAAACACGGGTGTCCAGTTCCCACCCGAGTTCTAGATTCACTAGGGCGGGATACAGCTGAGACTTTGTCTTTCTAGTAAGTTCCAGGTGATGCAGCTAACACCGGTTCAGGGTCACACTGAAAACTGGCAGGTGATTATACACCTGTGCTCTAGACTCGGGCGGATCTGGCTTGGCTCTGCCACCCCCTAGTCATCAGTAACAGGAAATGCTAGGCACCTAGCTTTCATCCCATGAGTTAGTTGTCTTTATCGGGCTGTGTGGGCTGTACTTTACACATATTTACCCCAAGACTTTATGTGAACAATTCCCAAGCTTGTACCATTAAACAAAAATGTTAAACCAAATAACAGACACACATCTGAGCCTGGAGGGTATTCCGTGGTAGAATACTTACTTAGCATACCCGAGGACCTGGGTTCTATTTCTAGCACAGAAAGTAAAATTGAAAATTGCATTTGACCACACGGGCATCAACTCTTCAAGTGATGATGGATTCTGAGAGGTAGGAGTTAGAAAGAGTATAAATGATGCTAAAGAGGCCATTCACTTCACCTTTCAGTGAACCCAGAAGCAGCAAGGGGGGAAAATCAGCTTTTGGTAGTCATAAGACCTCTGCCTTGCATCAGCCTCAATGACTGAGTAGATTCAGTGACAACCTCAAACTCACAGTGTGAAAGCAAAGAAGAGAAATAGTTGAGGTTTTAGACAGCATGTTTTGTGGGGGGGATTTTCCAGGGAATTTCTTATTAAGAGTCAGGCTAACCTCAGGTGTTTGGGTGAGTGGATGGAAGGCAATCTTGGGATTGGTCTCTAGGAATCAGGAAGGGGCACAGAGGTTGAGCCCTGTGCAGCTCAAGGGCGCACTGCAAACGAAGATGCACTGGGTTGCAAGGACTCAAGCCAGAAGTCAGTGTCTCCATGGGCATCCGTTCATCAGACAGGATGGAGGAAGGACGGGTTTTGTTAGTTTCTCTAGCTTTAGAGACAAGGAAGCCTGGGAAGTGTGGATATACAGGCTAAATTCAGGCTGGTGGCGTGGCTTCGTGAAAGAAAACCAAATTCCGTCACCACCACTCCTTCAAATCCAAAAGCGAGGGAAGAGACAGGTGACTGCTGGACCTCGGAGTACAACAGGAAAGGACAGGAAAATCCTGAAGCGGCAAAGAAGAGCCGAGTCTGGTCCGAGACAGCGGCTTCTAAAGCAGCGGCTTAAGAAACACCGATAGTGAGTGAGCAAGGCTTTAAATCCTTGCCTAAAACAGCCCGCTGTACACATACATACCTCAAACAGCAAAGACATGCGGTGGGAATTTCTAATTCTTTTTTAAAGATTTGTCTATTTATTCCGTATACATTGTTATGCCTGCACGCCAGAAGAGGGCACCAGATCTCATTAGAGATGGTTGTGAGCCACCATATGGCTGCTGGGAACTGAACTCAGGACCTCTGGAACAGCAGTCAGTGTTCTTAACCTCTAAGCAATCTCTCCAGTCTCCTGTGGAGGTAAAACTGTTATTTCAGTCTTCTTGCCAAGTAGGAAACACTGGAGACATGGAAGAATCAGACACAGAGAAAAAAAAGTTCAGTATAGTTGAGGCAATTATAGATCAAGGATAAGGAACCTTCTGGACAACACAGTCAGACATCTGAAAAGACATGTCACCAATGCCCAGACATTCTTTTTTACTTTTTTTTTAAATATTTATTTATTATGCATACAATATTCTGTCTGTGTGTATGTCTGCAGGCCAGAAGAGGGCACCAGACCTCATTACAGATGGTTGTGAGCCACCATGTGGTTGCTGGGAAGTCAGAACCTTTGGAAGAGCAGGCAATGCTCTTAACCTCTGAGCCATCTCTCCAGCCCTGCCCAGACATTCTTTAAAGGGGCAAAGGTCACACAAATATGTATTCTAAACTCAAAAGACCTTGAGCACAGTTTGATACCAAAGATGGTTTTAAAAAAACAAAACAAAACTGAATGGAGATTGATTATTTCGAGACCTATTCAGTCACAGGTCAGGAGCTAGATTAGAGATAGGAAAACAAGAAAGAAGGCATTTCATTGAAAGAAAAATTCGTCATGAGTCCTTTGGGATTGGAGGTCAGAGCTGGGCTTTCCCATCTTCACCCCATTCAGGAAGACTGAAGCCGCAGGTTTAGAGTAGACACCAGCCCTCACAGATAGTGAAGCCTCCGGCTGTTGGAAATAGAGCAGGAACTGTCGCGAGGTGCGTGAATTGGAACTAAAGTGCCAGAGTAGAGATAAAGAAGGACAGACCTGGGGGTCACAGGGCCAGGAACTAGGTAAGGGCCCTGCCTACTTCACATACGCTGCCAGAACAGAACCGAGGGGACACAGACTGGAGAAAGTGCTGCTCCCTCTGAATCACAGTAGAGAGAGAGGCTTGAGGCCGAGTCTACTGTGTGCCAGGAAACCATCTCGTGGGAAGCCAGGGGGACAAGGCAGTGGATAGAAAAGAATCCGCCCTGAAAGTGTAGGAAGTGGGGACAACCAGACGACCAAGATATAAGACTTAGAGCCATGGAGAGAGGACATAGGCAACTCATAAAGAACACTCAATATTTGGAGCAAATATCAACTAGGCCCTATTTCTCAGTGAAATATTTAGCTTGACATCCTGGGGAATTTAAAAAAAAAAACATTGCTTCAAAATTGTAGATAAATTTGTAGGCGACTACCCCATCCCAGATTGCCAGGTAGGTCTGCCTCTGACCTTGGGACTGATGACATCACCAGTAATTGTCGCACTACCCTCTCAATAAAACATCATGGTCACTGTTGTCAAGGGGTTTTCTCTATCCGCACACCCATTACTCCTTCCTTTCCCATCTGTTCACCTCCTGTCTTCCCATGTGTCATATCTGTCTCAGCTCTATTTTTAAAAACAATCCCTTATTAAACATGATGTTTCTACCTCTTGCTTTTTCACTTAATGTATCCATACATAGAAGAACTTTGCAACTTTTCAACCCCCCTTTTACAATCTTTGGGAAAAGTCTCACAGAGTCCATGCTGGCCTCATACTCATTCTGTGTCAGAAGCTGGTCAAGAACCTGTGAGCCTCCTTCTCCTGCCTCTGCCTCCCAAGCTCAAGGGCTACAGGAGTCAGCCATCACACCCACCTCTTTAATCCCTTCTTCCTGTTTCAGTGGATGGGTAGTCACTCATATAACCAGAGAACAGTGCCCCCCATCTATATAGACTATAAGTCTCTGTGAAAAGATAGGCAAGGATGAAAGGGAGCATAACTCCCCCAGTTGAATTACCCAATTCAACAGAAATCCGTCTGAATCTACTGTGAAGGGTGAGCCTGTCGCCCATCCTTTCTGAGGTGGAGGGGAAGGCCAACAGGGCAGCCCTTACTCCAGATCAGCTCTGCCTGAGCCTTGCTAGGAGAACGGTTTCCATACACAGTGGGAGCCTCTAGCCTTCAGTCCACTCTCTACTGCCGAGGCTTCTGGCGAACAATAAGGATTTGATCAATGACTATGACTTCTGCAGTCATTTCTGCAAGTCCAGAGTTACTCAGATCACTTCAATCATACCCAGTCATACCCAATATGCTGCTCCCGGTAGCTTTTAGCGACACCCCTCAATTCTCCCCCTCATTAAGGCCACACCTTATTTAATCAACTGACGCTCCTGCTGTAAACTCCCACCAATGTTGTCAGCCCACCACCGCACGCTGCCTTTGGAGAACCCCACTGTTCCCACCATGGATCCCATTTTCCTCTCCTAAGTCACCTGAGTCACTGTCTTGATCCCTTTTCATGTCTAGACAGCTGTCACTGTCCCCACCGCCCTCCTCCTCCCCTGCTGCGGCTGCTACTCTGACTGTGCTACATCCTCTTTCACTTGACCAACTCTTTTCTCATCCTCAGCGGCGCAGACTGCTTTCCTCTCTAGGCTGCGGAGCGATGGGCGAAGGCAGTAGAGCTTGTACTCGCACAGGCAGCACGGGTAGTAGAGGTCGCACAGGCCGCAGGAGCGGGATCGCTTGGAGTAGCAGAGGCAGTAGGGGTAGGGGTGCAGGTCACAGCAGCAGTACGGGTGCATGTAGAGGTCGCACAGGCAGCGGGAGCTGAGCTCGTCGATACATCTCAGTTGCCTTAATTCTCTGTCCACCTTCTTTATGTCCCTTCTAACACTGTCCAAAAGACAACTCAGTGCAGCCATTATGGTCACACCTTATTGTTCTGTGAGTACCTTTGGGAAACGGCACTCAGAGGAAAAAATTGTTCTAAGCTCTGCTCAGAGGCCTCCTTTAAAATTAAATGAGCCACACATGATTCACTTACTTTAAAGCTTGTGTTCTGTGACCCCGCCCACCCTTGAGGATGTCATAGTCTCCTGGTTACCATGCCAACCACAAACAGTTTATGGTCCCCAGAGACCCTCCTCAGGGCTACTCCCAGGACCATACTCACGCTGAGGTTCACTTACCTTAGTGTTTGTGGGGTTCCCCAGCAGTCACAGCTCTTTGGGGTTCATGGGCTAGCCTTCAGTGGCCTTGACTTTTGGTGTTAAGAAACTGTGTTATGGGTGTGACTGTGGTTTTGACCTTGGTGTGGAAAGGGCAGGAGTTGCCTGGTTCTGGTCTCTGTGCCTTCTAGTTCTAGCCCTGAGGCTGGCTGTAAGGTTTATTTGGGCTTCAGACAGGTAGAGTGTGAGGAACTTGGCTGTCAGCCCTTTCTTCCCACCAAGTCAGCCCCAAGTCTGCCTTTGTCATTGGCTCTCTCAGGCCCAAATCTCCGAGTCCCACCTGTGATTATTATTATTTTCCTGGTGCCAGGGATCAAACCCAGGGTCTCAGACATCATAGACAGCTGCCCATCCTTTACCAGCGAGGGTTCTAGCTAACTAGAAACATCAGTTCTCCGCTAGTCTGGGGCTCATATGCTCCCACCTACTGCTCTGGCCAATACGGATACCTGTGGTCTTGTCTGGCCCCTGAGTGCCTCCCAAGCATAGGCCCTGGTCCTCTTCCCTTAGCCTCTTCCCTTGCTTCAGCCTGGCCACGCTCTAAAGTGGATCAACTCCCTAGCCCGCGGCCTCGGCCTCAGAGTTGACTTGTACTAATCTATTTCTGTCCCTCACTTCCCCTTTCCTCGACTAAGACCTAGGGAAGGCACACGAGGACAGACGTGGACACACGTGACACCAGAGAGGGCACTAACTAGGTCTGAAGGCCACAGCATGGGGTTGAATTCTCATTTTGAGTTCAGTAAAGGATCGTTGGTTATCCATCCTCTCCTATTGACAGACCCAGGGAGAGACGAGGCAAGTCTGGGCTGGTGGTCATGGCTCGAGGAGAGAAGGAACTGGAACTGGGGAAATGGGTCATAGGTTAGGAGTGTTTGTGCTCTTGCGGAGGATACCCAACACACACACGGTGATTCAGAATGACTGGAACTCCAGTTTCATAGGCTCTGATTCCCTCTTCCGACCTCCACAGGCACCAAGCAGGACCATGCACACAAATACATGCAGGCAAAACACACGTAAAATAAAATGAATCGATCTAATTTTAAAGGATGTCACTGGGCGCATTCTCGTCTCTCGCTCCTTAAGCCCCACCCAATCTGATGTTTCCACACTGCAGTGAGACAGATTTTGCATATAAATCTGTCACCCCTCAATGTCCCCACTTTGCCTTAAAACTCACTGGCTCACTCTGGGAAGGCCATACCTCACTCTTTCCATCTCATTTGGACTTAAACACAGTTGTTCTGCCTGCTTAGAAGCCAAAGTCTCTGATCTTGTCTAGCTCATTACTGCTCTCTCGCGCATGCCTATCCTTTGGGAAGTCTTCTTTGTCCCATCACCAAACATCTGTCTGTCTGTCTCTCTCTCTCTCTCTCCTCTCCCTTCCTTGACAAGTACTCGTGTAGCTCAGGTTAGCCTTCAACTCCATACGTAGCCGAGATAACCTGTATCTGACCTCCTGACTCCACGTTTTGAGCACTGAGATTCAGGTGTAAAGCACCACACCTTGTTTATGAGGTGGTGGGAACTGGCCCGCGGCCTCGCGATGCTGGTCAAGCCCTCTGTTCACTGAATGCTGTTTCCAGCACCGACATGTTTGTCAATGACAATTATTTGTCAATTTCCAAAACTGAGCAGGATGTTGGCTGGTTTTGCTCACCAAGAGCTACCTAACACCATGTCTGGTACATGGCAGGTGCTTAGCATTTACAAAACAAGGACCCAGTGGCGACTCCCCAGTCTGTAGCTTGCCAGGCTCACGGTGTCCCCCACCAAGATAACGACCTGGGGGCAGAGTGTGGTAAACAAGAGGCTAGTGGCAGCTTCACGGTGAGCTGTGGAGGGGAGTCAAGGAAAAGCGATCTGAAACTCAGAGAAAGAAAGACAGACAGAGGTACAGACCGGGGGACATGAAACATAAACTGCTCACACGTGGGGATAGGGCAGAGACACGCTACTGAGGAAAAGAACCAGAAGTAGGGGTGTCACAAAGCTCATGAAAGTCTCTTAAGGGTCCCCAAAGAGGCCATAGCCCCTCAGCCCAAGTCGCTGCCTGTTGTCAGCCTGGCTTCCCAGTGGCTCAGCGTTCCACAGCCTTGACCTAGAGAATCCCCTTCTGATGAGGAAGTGTTGTAGACACTTAGCCAGCACAGAGCAGGGGAGATTGGCCGCCTGCGTCAGTCAGAATGAGTCAAACAGCAATGTCGAGTTCTGGGACAGGCTAATGCCCTTAGCAGGTGATTCCACGCAGTTCCGAAGGGTGGCCTCTGGTACCAGGAGCACGACCTGTAAGTGTGTCCGGATTTCTCTAACTCCAAGTGAAAGACTACTGGATTCTCATATCGCAGTGAATTCCATGATTAGCAAATGTCAGCAAAGGTTTGAACAGGCAGCTCTTGTTTTAACTTGTTAAACACACATCGTTCGGAGCTTAAATACACAGCTGAGTCTACACGGTGTGTTATTAAGATAGTCCTGACTTCCTTGCACCTGGGGCTCTCCCGTTCTCGCACCCCCCTAGGAATTCCATTCTTCCACCATGAAATAGATTTTTTACATCATTTCACGTGACTGAATAAGTACATTTAAAGGTTCGGTGGAACAGCTGTGCTGGCTCACAGTAGTAGGATATGCAAAGAGGTGTCTGCAGAGGATCCTGAGTTCAAGGCCAGCCTGGGCTACGTTATTGTTGGGCGTAGTGATGCAAACCTTTAATACTTGCACTTGGGAGGCAGAGACAGGTGCATTTTTATGAGGTCAGTGACAGCCTGGGCTTCATAGTGAGATGTCTCAAATCAAAAGAAAACAAAAGAGTCAGTGAAATTGTGGTTCATTCACATCAGAAGGACAAGGCTGAAATTCATTAGAATCTGCTAAACATCCTTAAGGACGAGGTACAGGCACAACTCCTTGAACTATTAACACAAGCACGTTCATGGCTCTAACACAGAGGTGGGGGCTGTCCGATACAAAAGACTGCATCCATGGACATGCCCACTCACCTTGGCTGGTACCCAGGTAGATCTTCCTTTGGGATTAGAGGGCAGGAGGTGGCAACTTCCCAAGCCAGGCAGCCTTTGCCTGGTCCTAGTGTTAGCAGAACTGTGTGCCAGAGGCGGCCTCTTGTGCTCCTCCACCGGGCAAGACCGATACGGGCCAAGTCCATTCACACAGTGTGGATGCCGCAACATGGCTTTAATTCTTTTGAAAAGGATCTATTGAAGGAAAGAAAGACCCTTAAAAAATGACTGGTTATCTCTGAGAAGTAAGACATAGGTGGCTTTGAAAACTCTCCTTCCTAGGGCTGGGAGTGTAGCCCAGCAGCAGAATTGTGAGAGACTCTGGGTTCAATCCCCAAAAGCAAACAAAAAAAAAATGTGTTTAGTCTAGTGTGTGTGTCTACAATGCCTATTGCACAAATGGAGTGGTCAGAGACAATTTTGTCGACTTAATTCTCTCCTTCCACCTTTATGTACATTCCAGGGATTAAGTCCAGGTCACCAGGCTTGCACAGGGGTAGCAAGCATCTTTACCCCGAGACATCTCACGGGCCTGAAATACTTTAGCTGGCGTGTGTCTAGCGCTCTGTCCACTGAAGGCTCACCTCTGGAACCATCTCAGAAATCCAGCTGAGAGGCCAATGACATGGCTCAGTGGACAAAGAGCTTCTCTGAAGGCTTGAGGACCAGGGCTGGGATCCCCACCTCACAGAGACAGGATTCCCCGGGCAAGGCGACTAGCTAGATTAGTCAAGTTGATGAGTTCCAGTTCAGAGGCAGATCCTGCCTCAATACAGTAGAGAGATCAATATCACACACACCCAGGCAAACTCTGGGGCCATCCCTCTGAGCTGGCCACTGGGGAAGTTCTCTGTGAGAAGACACGTCTTTGGCCTGTCCACCGTCCACGGAACCTGCTTTTGGATGAAGAACTTTCTCCTTCTCCCGCCGTTAGCTACCATTGATAAAGTGCCTAGCCAAAGGTGGGGCACCTCAGCTGGCCAACCCACTGTCCTCCTGGAACTTCCTGCTTACCACAGTGCCTAAAGATAGTTCGCATTTCCAAAATGTTCCTCAGCTGTGCTTCGGGACTGTCAGCTCCTCGGATGGTTCCAATAACCTCATCTCTTTCTTTCTCTTCTCTGTTCCTGTTTCGTGGTTTTTAGACAATGGTTTTACTATGTAGCTCAAGCTAGCCCAGAACTTACTATATATAATAGCTGAGGCTGGCCTTGACCTCTAAGCAATCCTCCTGCTTCAACTGAACTTCCCAGTGCTGGGTTACAGCATCTGCCACTAGGCCTGGCTCAAAACCCTCTGTTTCTTTTTAATTATGGAGGTCAGCTGAGGCCTGGCACTGTGGTAATACATGTTGGGGTTCTGGCCCTTCAGAGGTACTTGTAGAATGACCTCAAGTGTGAGGCCAGCTTTCTACATAAAAGCCTTGACAAAAAAACAAGTGGCTAAGCCAAGTACTCAGTGGCTCAGGCCTGTGATGGCAGCTCCTCAGGAGGATGGCCAAGTTCAAGGGAAAGGAAAAACGGAAAGAACCGGGACACAGCACATCGGTAGGGCTTGCTACTGTGAACGAGGCCCAACGCTCCAGCCCCAGGAGCAGAAAACCAAAAAAATTCAACAAACAAACGGAACTCCAATGGGACGACAGCCTGCTCCCTTTGTCCGACCTGCAGA